AAAAAAAAAAAAAAAAAAAAAAAAATAGACAAAATGTAGACACAGTGCAAATATCCACCAATGGATGAACAGATAAACAAATTGAGGCATATATATACAACCAAATATCATTCATCAACAAAAAAGAACAAAGTACTGATCTATGCTACAACATGGATGACCCTGAAAAACATTATGCTAAGTGAAAGAAGCCAGAAACCGATGGTTACATATTGTATAAATCCGTTTATATGAAGTATACAGAATAGACATACCTAGGGACAGAACACAGATTGTTAGTTTCCAGAGGCTGAGGGGAGTGGGGTATGGGAAGCAACTGCTTAATGAGGTTGGAGTTTCCTTTCAGAGTAATGGTATTTGCGCAAAATTGTGAATGCACTAAATGCCACTGGATGTCTCATTTTAAAATGGTTAATTATCTGTTATATGAAATTCAGCTTAAAAAAAAAAAAGCAATCAGAAGAAAATCTCTATATATCAACTCACCTACCAGCATTCTATCCTCCTATATTCACCTCTGTCAGCAAAGATGAACTGTCCTTGTAGTTGTTAAAGGCCAGGCTCTCCCCTTGTGCACCAGATGCCTTCTTGTTTATTCAAAGTCAATCCACCTAGTGATTTTCACCTTATTTTCCTAGATCATCATTTTTCCCTCTTTACTGGATCATTTCCATAAGAATGTAAGAAGACAATATTTCTCCTACTCAAAAGTTTTATAAAAAAGAATACAAATAAACAAACAAAAGCCTTTGACTCACATTTTCGAATAGCATCTACCCCATTCCTTCACAACAAAACCTTTACTAAAGAAGAAAAGTATCCCCATCTCCCAACATGGGTGGGCTGCTGGGCTCAATACCTGGACATCTCTTCCCTATCCATCCTACTTCCTTGGAGAATTCTGCTCATCTCATCCATGCTGAAAATGCTTACATTTTAATTTGAAGCTTTGGACTTCCTCCTTATCTTCCAATTGATCTAGTCATCTACATACCTAAATATATGTGTGAATACTTAATGGGAAACATGTTAATCGAAGATCTGATCTTTTCCCCCAAATTTGCTCCTTTTCTAACCTTCCCTAATTTAATTTAGGCAATTCCATCTTCTCAGTTACTTGGGACAAAATCTTAGGCTGATCTTTGATGTTTCTCATTCTCTCATACTCTATTTTTAATGTCAATAAATATGCTGGCTATATTTTCAAAATATATGCAGAATTTAATTAGTTCTCCCCACTGTCACTGCTTTCCCTCTGGCTTAAACCAACATAATTTCTCACTTGGATAATTTTGATAGCCTCCTACCTGCCCTCCTTGCTCTCACCCTTGTCTTACTGTATTCTGTTTTCATTAAAATCTACCAAGTCCCCTCTATTTAGTCACACTCACCTTTATTCTGTTTCTTCACAATTCTTCTTCTTCAACTTCTATTGTTTCTGTGGGACTCATTCTATCACTTCCTTGAAAGTTATTTTCAAATAGCCTTCTCAGTTGTGCCTTCTGTGATTACCATATTTAAAATTCAACCTCCTTCCCTAATCTCTTATGCTCTTTCTCTGATTTAGGGTTTTTTTTCTTCTTTTTTTTTTTTCAGGGTATGAAATCATTTATTTTCACTCACTGAGGCTTCTTGTGGAGTCAGGGTTCCCACCGGTCCAAAAAATGGCTTGAGAGAAGGACAAAAAGCCACTAGTTTGGAGGTTTTGGTATTTGGGGAGAGCTCTTTTACAGGTAGGGCCTTTCTGGGTTAGAACTGCCCTCATAAGACCAGTCAAGAGGCACCCAAACTGTCCTGACAGTTTGTCCAGGTGTAGGGCAGAGGTGAAGACAGAGGGGGAAGATTAAAAAGATTCATCAGTAAGATCTCAAAGATGGACTCAGACTCTTTATTACAAGGACTTTTCCTGAACACAGGAAGAAATAACACAGAGAACGTCTTCTAAGGGGGCTCAGCACTCATCTTCAACTAGACTTATTGTAAGCGATTTGGAAGAAACTCCAATAGAGAAATAGGATACAAGTTTTTCTGTAAAAATTTCACTGAATAAATATAAAGGAGATCTATTATTCAAACTGTAAAAAGAAATTTCTCCCAACTCATAGTCCAGAAAAACTCCAATCCGACATGGTTTTCCTGAATCCCCAGTGCCAGGTACAGTAGGTGAGAGTTGAATTCACCAGCAGCTATTGCTTGGGGATGGTGATATAGAAGCATTTCTGGGGAAAGATTCTTTATACACACCAAAGGACGATTCACCCATTCCTTTTCCTTCTACCTGCCAAAAATACCTGCCAGCATCAAATCCCTCAGAACTGGGGATGGGTGAGAAGTAAATGCCTCAGGATTATGAACACAGTGTGGTTCCATCCTTTGAAAAGTTGCAATTTTCCTGTCTTGTGAAATGATGAGACTGTGGTGAACAGTTTCAACCTTTTTGTGAAGGGCAAAATATTGTGGGGGGAGAGTGAAAACCTCCTTCTTTAATTTGTAGGAAAAGGCTGCTGAGCTCTCTAACTTTCCATACATGCTGTGGATCCTTTCAATGCAAATCGAGGTCACTCTGCAAACACTTCTTGGTTATTTCGTCAAACAGACTTTTTAATGTGTATCCTTTGTCTGATATTTGAGTTCTTTTTTTTTTTTTTTTTTTAAAAAGGAGATGAGGTGGATTTATAACTTTTTTTTTTAGATGTTGGGGGTAGGAGTTTATTAATTAATTAATTTATTTTTGCTGTGTTGGATCTTCATTTCTGTGTGTAGGGCTTTCTCTAGTTGTGGCAAGCGGGGGCCACTCTTCATCACGGTGCGCGGGCCTCTCACTATCGCGGCCTCTCTTGTTGCGGAGCACAGGCTCCAGACGCGCAGGCTCAGTAGTTGTGGCTCACGGGCCCAGTTGCTCCGCGGCATGTGGGATCCTCCCAGACCAGGGCTCGAACCCATGTCCCCTGCAGTAGCAGGCAGATTCTCAACCACTGCGCCACCAGGGAAGCCCCTTGAGTTCTTTTTTCAATTATTTTATCTTGAACATCATTCTCTTCATTGAGTAACTTAACATGAATTTCATCATGTTCCATCCCCCAGAAACGCTTAAAGTGTTCAACTTTGGAGTGCAATTCGCTCCTTTGATTCTCCACCTTCCACACCAACTCAAATGATTCTGAGACTTGCATTTCTAACACCTTTTCAGCATCTTCCAGCTGCTTTTTCAGGGGCTGAATGTAGCTTTTGAGCTTCCTCCTGTGAGAGGGGCAGCTGGCTCCATGTGTGCCAGGGGGTGATCGTGGTGTTCTGAGGAGACCCTGCACTGGGGACACAGCAGCTCCAGGTCCTTCTCACAGAACAGGCTCAGAACCTGCTTGTGCTTCTCACACAGAGGTTTCTCTTTCTGCCATTTCCTCATGTCCCCTGTGCTGGGAAGATTCTTCACAACATCAATCATGAGACATGACTGGCTGTTCATCCTAAAGCTCTTGTCGGGGCAGGGCTGGAGGCAGACAGGACAGGGGAAGATGTCTTGGAGATCCTCCAAGCACTGCTGGATGTGGGAGTGACAGAAGTTGTGTCCACTCTCAGTGGTCACTTCACCTCTCAGGTAATCCAGGCAGATGGGGCAGCTGACCTCTGCTTGGAGCTGTGCCAGGGAGGACACCAGGGCCATTGTTCACGGAGGGTTTCTGTATGAGGAGACTCTCTTCAGAGAAACCTGGCTCTCCACGGGTGGGGACAAGTGAGAAGCTTCTGACTCTTCAGCCTTCTCTCTATTCTTTCAAGGCTACAAGTAGGTTTGCCAAGATCTGCAGGGAGCTGTGGCCACTCAGGCCTAATTCTACCCCTTCCCTTCAACTCTACAGCAGCTGCCAGGAGGACTGAGAGCCCCAGTCAGTCTCTGCTTCCTTTGGCACTTTTGTCCCTTTTACTCAATGGCCCCAAATCATAGCTTACTAGGTAGTCCTCTTCTTCATAGAGAGCCACAGCTCCAGGTAGTGATGAAAATCAACAGCACAGGGACGCAATCAGCAAAATCCAGGCGTGGGCAACTCTATGGCACAGCTCACCAAGTTCCTGACCACACTTCTCAGTCTTGGCTCTGTGATGAGGGAGCTGCTCTGTGTCCTCAAGTCCTGTGGGTGCCCTCGACTCCCCTCACCAGGCCTCTGGGCCTCTCCCTTCCTCGCAGAGCAGAAGGTCTTCCTTGATCCAGGTTAGAGCACACAACACAGCTCACCATCTCTGTTCACTACTGGGGTCAGAATCTGGCCCCTTGGGCCTTTATAAGCCTGTAGGGAGGTTCCTTTCCTTCATCCCATTGGACAGACTCTCTGCTTTAGTTTTTTCTATGGCATTTTCTAACTCACTGCATAATTTACTTACCATCTGTATTTATTTTTGTAGTTGCCAGAGGTGTAGCTACATGTGGGTGGTAAAGTTTTCTATTTTGTTTACTGATGTATCTCAAGTGCCCAAATGAGTGTCTGGCACATAGTAAGTGCTAGAAAATATTTGTTGAAGCAATGAATAAACGATTATGAGAAAAATATTTGGCTTCATATGGACTGTAAAATGTAGGAAACTCTAGGCAACTTAAAATTGTAGTTATTTGTGTTATCAAGTAATATTGAAATAAAAGCACTTAAAAATATTCTAACTTTAAAAACATCCACCTCTGTAATGTATCTAGAATTGTTTGGAGGGGAAGGTGTCATATCCAAATTTTACTTAGATAATACCTCTACTATGCACTAAGTTATCTTACAGAAAATTAAAAAAAAAAAAAACTGTTGGAAATTGATCTGAAAGAAAGAACATAATATTTAGAACAGAAATAAGCAAGTTCTAAAGGAAAAAACTATAACAATACCCAATTTTGGAAGTGGATTTTCCCTAATGTAATTAATTTATGTTTATGATTCACAAACTCTTCCATATTTTTCTGCTACATTTTTGTACAATATGTGTAACAGGCAGAAAATTCCCTAGCTATGGCTGTGTGCACACGGGCTTTTTCTATAAACATTTCTGAAGTCAGAGGACTTTTTTTTTCCCGGAAAGCTTTTAGATTTGAAAATTCTAATATTAAAATATTTCAAAACATCTTAAGGTTTCTTTAAAAGGGCCAAATACCTTCCATTTAAAGAAATTGTAGCTCTCATTTTGCATAATCAAGTATTTATAAGAAAAAAAAAATAGCACCTCTTCAGGTAGTTCAAGAGTATATACTGATCTAGAAATATTATGGAATCATCAAGATACCCATTTGAAGGTTCTTTAAATACCAATTTTTTCAGAACTGTCAGTTTATGTATCACTTTGTGATATATGTGATAATTTGTGGTTTTTCATTTGTATATACACCTGAGTGCTGACAGATAAAGAGAGCATTTCAAAAGATTTAGATTACTTCCTCTCAGATATAAGCTCTATGCCTTAAAATAGACACAGATGGAGGACCAGTTGGCTCAGGAAAACAAACCGGAAACTGCCACTGCTGTGAGCCTGGACTTGTCTGAGGACTGCACTGAAATGAATATCTGTAGAAGAGATTATAATGTCCAATGTGGAGGTAAACTGAATTAGAAAAGGTTATCACTGACATGCTACTGATGTTTGCTTTCTCCTTTGGAATTAGGTGGAACTTGGAATTGATAAAAAAGTAAAAAATATGAATAAATTGAAAGACTAGCTTATATACCTATTGGAAATTAAAGCAAAAATGGCAGCTTCATTGGAAAATACATTTCACAATAGCTTTTCTTTCTTTAAAAATATAAAATATCTAATTTATACACATGTCAAAAATACTTGCCCATATGCAATCACTTCTTTATTCAAATTTATCCCTATGCTGTATATACTACACTGGACTTGACAGGCAGACCAGCAAAAAACAAGTAAATACAGATTGTACCCTCAGAAGGCTTGTGATCTGGGAGGCAAGGTATAATCAAGCAAGGTATCACAGCACAAGATGAAAGAGAAGAGAATTACCAACAAGTTTTAGATGAATTTCCCTGTGTGAGATTTATAGCTGCTTGTACGAGATTCAGGTTATAAGCCACCTCCTTAGTGTCCTCCCTAACTATATATTGAACTACATACTTGTTTAATTACTGAATTTGGCAATGCACTATATATCATTTTAGGCTTGTGTATTTAGACAAAAAATAAATTGTATATTATGCAATGTTAGGAAGTTCCTCATATGCAAAATAATCTCATCACTTCAGCATTCCTAAACATAAATGTTCTTTCTTTTCTGAAGTCTATACCCATGATAAACTCACCCTGTGCACTAGCCTAAATCCACCTAATACTTCTGGATCTGATTACAATTACTTTGCAGAACTCAATATAGATATTGCATCTTCTGAGAGGTCTGTGCTTACCCCTGAAGAGTGGATTAAATTTCCACCTATGTTCACATAACACCTTATATTTGTCCATTTAATAACACTTACCCTTAACATAGTTCCTTATTTGTCTGTGAAATACCAGTAGATAGGCAGAGATTGTTTTCTGTTCATTAAAGAATATTTAATGCATAGCACCATTTCTGGCACATAAGTGCTCAAAAAATAATTGCTGAATGAAAGGACTTTTTCCAACTGTTTGCAAGGACATATGTGCAATATACACGAACACCTGACTATTCAAATATTTGAATAACTATATTATGTGATATGAGTTATATGCAGAATAACACTCATGTTCAGAGAGTCAGAGTATAAATGAAAGAGATGTACTCATGATTTTCAATCTAACAAAATCTGTGGTATTGGGAGACAGTTTTAATATAGGGGCTTATCCTTCTTACAAGTTTAGTGAACTAAAAATTTATTTAAAATATTTTATGTGACAGTTTTACTAATAGAAAGTTTTATTTTGAAACTACACAATTTCTCTACAGGTTATATACATGTGGTTTTTATCTGAGCCACTTAATGTACATCAGAAAAACAGCAATGTAGCAGCAAGTGAGTAAAACACCCATAACAGAAGGACCTATGACATGCAGGTGCCAGGCAATCTGGATTTTCTAGACAAATTAGGAGGGGCATAATGAAAGGCACAAGTTTAACACAAATAAAAGAAACAGTCTAAAAACATTTCACTAATGCCTTAGAGTTCTCACTAATAAGAATTTTCTGAAAAAAAGAAAGTCAAGATTTTGACTAAAGGGGATTTTAAAATCAGAAAGATGTTGAATTATTAATGAGCCAAACGGGTCTTTTTCATTTTCTTTCCTAATCCAAGAAATCTTCAGGGTAGCTGTTTGAAGGATATTTTTTTCCATTTCCTGCTTTAGGCATTTATAAATACACTTGAAAACACTATCTTAGATACAGCCTAATCAAATGATCAAGGTCACTTAGGAGACTAAATTAAATTTCTAATACATATTCACTGTTGTCATTTCAGCACATTTTTGATGAGGCTGTGGAAATGCTTGCTTTGAATGTCATTCCTGC